CATCGGAGACGATTGATTTCTGTTTCAGTATGATCTTCTAGGTCTTGAATTACTTCGGCTGAGTCATCGACGATTTGATCCTCGTTGCTCGTGGATTTTGAGTCAGAAATATAAGGAGTCTTAGAAACGGATAGTTGTGTAGAAAGTTGTTTAAGACGTTTTTCTATTTCAAGCTTAAATTCAAGACTAGATTCTTTAGTAACTTCAAAAGGTTTGAAAATGGGGGAATTAAGTTTGTTGGAAGGAGGAATAGGAGTATTAGAAGTAGACGCAAAAGACAGTGGTAAACTGATTTCAACATTAGTAAGTTGATCTCCTAAGGTCTGAGGAAATCGGTTTGTATAATTGTTTTGTTCAATCAGACGTCGAATATCTTCTCCTTTGACATGGTCACTATTTTCTCGTCTTAATTTAATAGGAGAAGCTTGAACTGCTGTTCCATAATAAGAAAAATTAACAGGAGCATTAGGGGGGTGAATAGATTGGATCTTAGAGTTATTAGTAGTTGACCAAGTCATAGGCTTGGTTTGAACATTTATCGAAGATTGAGAAAAGACTTGTTCGAACCAATTAAAGAAAGAATGGTGTTCTCGTATATTATTGAGATAATCATAGAAAGAGTTTTGTATAAGTACACGTTCTTCTTTAGAGTAATCAGTAAAAAATTGCTCGCGTTTAAAACGGTTTCGTTGGGAATAGAAATCATGGCGAAGAAATTCTTTGTTGATTTTGAACTCTTGTGTAATGACATCAAGAGCAGAAGGGATTTCTTCTTCAGGAAATGCAGCTTGTGAGGCAGTAGGAGACATATTTGGTGTTCTCGAGGTATTTATATTGGGAAAAAGAGTTGTGGGAGGTGGTGGAGTATAAACTGGCTGAGGTATGTTGTTGGAGTTGTTGATTCCTCGTAGATCATAGTTGAGTGTAGAGGAGGTATGTCGAGTGGGTGTTGGTATGGGAGAAAGATTTCTACAAGATTGGCTTCTAAGAAAAGTATTGATGCGCTGTCGAGCATCGTCTGTCAATTCAGGGTCTATATCAGAAATGCTAGAGATGGAATTCCTAGCAAAAGAGATGTTAACAGTACCATCAAGATGTTGAGTAATTTGATTAACCTGACAATGGTCGATGCTTCTGGGAATGGTAGCTCCTTCAAGGGTCCATTCTGTAGGAAGAGTAACTTCTCCCCATTTAATAGTTTTGGGAGTAACAGTGTTAGTACGAGTTAAATCAGTTTGCCAAAGTATAGTTTCTCCTTTTGTACCATATTGAAGAGCTTTAGAAGAGAAAGCAGATTTCATAGCTTTATAGTGTAAGCGGTAAACCAAAGAGATAGGTAAAGATCCTTGTTGGATTTTATAGTTGAAAGTTTTTATTTGTAGGGTTAAAACATCTAAAATATTTTTGTCATGAAGAGAGACAGTAAAGTTTGGAAAACAATTGAAGTAAATTGGGCCATTACAAAGACTTGATTCAACAGTTCCAAGTAAAGAGTCGTTAAACTCAAGAAACCGACAATCTCGTAGAACCATTAAAATAGCAGTATTAAGGCCTTCTTTGGATAGAGGCTTAATCCCTACTTGAACTAACCCAATATGGATATAGTTGTACTTCTTTTTGTGTTGTTGAATAGAATTTTGAGACAAAAGTTTGATAGTTTCATAATCATTGAAAAGATGAATATCTCTTTCTTCGGTTTTGATGGTATAATCCATTTTATTGAGGAAGTTAAATTTGCTTTGCTCATAAATTTCCTTTTGGGCAATCCTAGGAATTTGCCAATTATCAATTTCTTTACTAACAGTTTCAAAATTAATTTCTTCTTGGTTGATCACACGGTTCCCGGTGATGTCAGAAGTAGAGGAAGAAGAGGAAGGTCTAAAAATCGAACTCATGACTAGATAAAAGAAGGTAAACAAAGGTTGGATCTAACTTACAGGTGAGATAGGTTAACAGCCAAAGACGGTCTTACAACTCTCTCACAAAGGACTCAGTTAGGATCTAACCATGGGGTACCCATCTCTCAACTAACAATAAGCAAGAAGATTTAGACTAACCCTTCCCCCCCCCCCCCCCCAGGCTCTGATACCATATGGTATTGACTAGTAAAAAATGACTAAATGTTTTTTGTTCTAAAAATATATCAAAGTGGATATCATTTTAAAAATCACAATTAATCTGATTTATCTTTGCAAAAAAATTACATTCTGACTTCAAACGAGAGAGACATCGTCGATTAAAGATTAAAGAGGAAAAGATAAAAGGCTTTCCATTAGAGAGAGGGATGTTGATGTCATGCTGAAGTGGACGGATTACTCATGTTTAGTAATCTGATCCGATCCGCTCCCATCATTCTTGCAATCTGGGTTCCCATCTCTTATTGTCAAAAAGATTTTTTTTTAAGTTCCTTTATTTAATATAAAAATCATCCAAATCAGCTTACACATCAGCACGGTCAACACGTTGACTATTGACCACTAATCGTTAATGTTAACAAAATTAGCCTAAACAATCGTTTAGGATAGGATTGAAATATTGAATACAAAATAGGACACAAATGACATTGTTTTATAGTTCGATTTTGTAGTGGCATTACCACTAAATTTTATATATGGTGCTATCATATATTATATAAATCAAAGATATGACATACTTTAGGTTAGGAAAACAAATATAACATTGAATTGACCGGAATTTGAGACATAATCCTATACCCAACCCTTAAAAATTAAAATCTATGTCTTAATTTTATAAATCTTACACACTAAGAGGTATGGAGTACCCTAGATTTTGCTTGAGCATGATAGAAGGCACCATATATGAATGGTTTCGATTATCTAAATGATGAACTTTAACCCCCATACTGGCCTCTGTTGGACCCAGTGTGGATGTAGATTATGACATATCTTTAATAAGAAAACGTTATCTAGACCTTGAATTAACCGGATTTTTGACATAATATTATACACTAACACTGACTTTTAATGAGTGAATCCTGGGACCTAATTATCTAAGGATGAACCATAACCCATACATAATATACACACACTTGATGTATAATATACGACTGCTTTCACAATTATTAGTTGTAGTTCGAGTCGGCTTTTTATATTTATTAAATTGGTCTTATGGTTTGAGTTTATAAAATAAGATGATGTGATTTGCCCATTAATCAGATTAAGAGTGTAGGATTTGTAGATTGGAATCTAGGATATGTAGGGATGGCCAAAATATTCGTAACCGTGGATATCCTCCTGAATCCGACCTAATCGGGTAGGGTAAAACTCGAACCCGAAGGACTTTTAGCGGATACGGGTAAAATCCGAACCCGAATATTGCGGGGAATGGGTGGGCATGATTTTCTCACAATCCAACCCGAACCCGCCCGATTATACACATGCATATGTACTTTGTCTATAAATATTCATTATATTTTTAACATATTTTATATTTAGCAATATAAATATAATACTTTCATGAAATTGTATTGTTTTAATTAATTTTCTTCATTATAGTGAATTATTGTCGTACTTTTCTTCATTCGTGCACCGGTTTGTCGTGGTCTACTTGGATGACATCGTCGTGTATAGAAAAACACTCGACGAGCATGTAGAGCATCTACGCCAAGTCTTCCAAGTCCTTCGCGACAACGAGTTGTACGTCAAGAGGGAGAAGTGCACATTTGCCGCCACGGAGGTTCCATTCTTGGGGCACACAATTGGTGGAGGCAAGTTGAAGATGGATGAGGTGAAGGTGCAGGCAATCCAAGAATGGGAGCCGCCGACGAAGGTGCCAGAGTTGTGTTCATTCCTCGGCCTTGCCAACTACTATCGGAGGTTTATCAAGGGTTACTCCAACATTGCAGCACCCTTGACGGATCTCTTGAAGAAGAAAAAGGCGTGGGAGTGATCGGATCGGTGCCAAGAAGCATTCGAGGCCTTGAAGGCAGCGGTGATAAAGGAGCCCGTGCTCGTGCTCCCCAACCCGACATTGGCCTACGAAGTGCAGATCGATGCATGCGACTTCGCAATTGGAGGCGTGTTGATGCAAGATGGGCATCCCATTGCCTTCGAGAGTCAGAAGCTCAGCGAGACAGAGAGGCGATACACCATTCAAGAGAAGGAGATGACGACCGTGGTGCATTTCTTGCGCAGATGGAGGCACTACTTGCTGGGGTCAAAGTTGGTAGTGAAGACGGACAACGTGGCAACGAGCTACTTTCTGACACAGAAGAAGCTCACCCCTAAGCAAGCGAGGTGGCAAAACTTTTTGGCTGAGTTCGACTTCGTCATGGAGTACAATCCAGGCAAGGCGAATTCCGTTGTAGATGCTCTTAGCCGCAAGAGTACATCCGCAAGCATCAGCCAGCCCATGTTTCCTTTGAAGGAGCGGATCGTCGAAGGCCTTGGCCATGACCCCTTCACCAAAACCGTAGTGGAGTACATCGAGCAAGGTAAGACTCGACGGTTTTGGATGAAGGATAAGCTCATCGTGACCAAGGGAGAGCGAGTGTTTGTGCCAAGATGGGCCAACTTGAGGAAGGAGATCATGAAGGAGTGCCATGATCCAAATGGGCGGGCCATCCCGGCATCGAGAGAACGCAAGCGCTCATCGAAGAAGCATACTTCTTGCCGCGTATGAGAGACGACGTGGATATGTATGTGAAGACTTGTCTTGTGTGCCAACAAGACAAGATGGAGCAGAGAAGCCCGGCAGGCTTGCTAGAGCCCTTGCCCACGCCTCAACGACCATGGGAGAGTGTAAGCATTGACTTCATCATCGGACTTCCCAAAGTCGATGGATGCGGTTGCATCATGGTTGTAGTGGATAGGTTCTCGAAGTATGGAGTGTTCATTCCTGGACCAAAAGACTTGACGGCATAGGATGCGGCGCGTCTATTCTTCAAGAACGTGGTCAAGTATTGGAGCATTCCCAGCAACATTGTGAGCGACAGAGATGGGCGCTTCACGGGCAGGTTTTGGCGAGAGTTGTTCAAGATCATGGGCTCAAACTTGAACTTCTCGACGGCATTTCATCCTCAAAGCGACGGACAGACGGAGCGGGTGAATGCCTTTTTAGAGGTGTACTTGCGGCACTACATGAGTGCAAACCAACGAGATTGGGTGAAGTTGATGGACATGACACAGTTCTCCTACAACTTGCACCGCAGCGAGTCAACCAACACGAGTCCATTTGAGTTGGCGACGGGGCAACAACCTTTGACACCTACGACGGTGGCAACGGGGTATATAGGCAACAGTCCGGCAGCCTACAAGTTCGCTAAAGGTTGGCACGAGAAGATGGAGATGGCCAAGTCTTACATAGCCCGCGGTAGTAAGAAGATGAAGAAATGAACGGACAAGAAGAGGCGGCACTTGGAGTTTGAAGATGGAGACATGGTGATGGTCAAGTTCTACCCTCATCGCTTCAAGCATCTCAAGAACGTGCACAAGGGACTGCTTCGCCGCTATTAAGGGCCATTCCCCATCGTGAAGAGGATTGGCAAGGTGGCGTACAAGGTGTAGGTGCCATCGCACTTGGAGATCCATCTAGTCTTTCATGTGAGCCAACTCAAGGCTTTCAACGAAGACAAGGAGGACGAGCAGCGAAGAGAGTCGCAGCGCGCACCAATACTCATCACCAAGACATACGACCATGAAGTCGAAGAAATCATGGCGCGTCATGTCATTCCTCGTCGTGGCGTACATCCAAGCTTTGTGGAGTACTTGGTCAAGTGGTGCAAACTTTCGGAGAGTGAAGCAACTTGGTAGAAAGAGCTCACGCTTTGGAAGAACAAGGACTTGATCGAGGCATTCCATCAAGAGGACACGACGAGGGCGTCACGAGCATAGGTGGGGGAGGATGTCATATGGGGCAGATGACATGGCGCCAACAAGGTGACAACATGGCGGCTGCACATGTGGCGTGTATGGAATACTAGTAGCATAGAGATGCTCATAGAATTCTCCACCTAAATGAGAGCTTAATGGTGCACTTATGAGTCACATAATGGATGGCATTTATAGAGTGCATAATGGGGGGACTTAATGGGGTGTATTGATGTAGAGGGACATTATGAGGGGCATTGATGCTTTGTATGAGGAGAGGCCTATATAAGGAGCCATCTATCTCATTTGTAACTCATTCCATCATTTTTTAGAGTAATACACACTAGAGAGTTCTCCCAATTCCTTTGTCTTTGTTCTTGTTTCTTTACTTGCAAGTGAGTTGAGAGAAAGGCTGCCTAGCGCTCTAATGGCATTGAGAGCTAGGGCCGCACGATCGAGATTAAGGTCGTGACAAATCCCAAGGAAGCCTGTGTGAGGCCAGCAAAGAAAGTGGAAGAAAAGCCGAGCTAAAGGAACAAGAGAAGGTCTTTGGCAGAGGAGACTTGTTGGCTAAGCATGGATCCCAAAATGAGTGAAGCTATGGACACAGGCCCGACAACTACATCCCTTGAGCTCCCCAGCACAGCATACACCAATGGCGGCACAAAGCTCGAGTACAGTCCCACAATCGGCGGCAGGTTGGCCAGCTTCGCGTAGCTTATGCCCTGCCGCAACATATATACATAACTCGAGAGGTTGGGAGAAGAAGGAAGAACAAGTTGGGAATTAATGGTAAAACAAAACAAAGAAGAAGAAGATGGAAAAAAACAAGCTTGTATTTACGTACCTGTGGGATGGCTAAGCTGGCAATGGTGAGGCCAGAGACGACATCGGATTTGAAGTGTGAGAGTGAGTAGCTGGGTCCCCATTGGATGATTGGGAAGGCATACTGAGCAGCCAGAATCCATTTCCATCTGGAAGGTGTTGGAAATGTATATGAATAGCTTTGAAAGCTATAGAGTCTCAAGTGGAAAAACTACCACATTGGTAGTTTTACTTGGTGAAATGTGTATAAAGATAGGAGCCTCTCTCCTAAGGGCATGTCCCTTGGGGTGACCCACTTTTGTGGGAGAGGGAGGACCTAACGGACCACCACACACACGCACGCGTCGTCTGTCCGACCGGCCGGTCGGTCGGTTGGTTGGTTGGTTCACTTTAGACTATATATATAATTTTTTGGAGAAAATTCCGAACGAAATTAATTATCTAATAATTAATTATTAATCGGTTATTCTGAGGAATATTCTAAGGATAATCGACTAAAAAAGGAATATTCGAAGGATAATCCCGCAGGGTTTATCTTAACCGACGGTTTTAATTAAGGAAGTAATTATCTTCCTTAATTAATCCGACTTATTCCCCAAGCAAGAGGCTATATTCCTAGGGGTTCGGCTCCTATAAATAGCCGCCTCCCTAGCCCCTCTAAACACACCACAACGAGCATAAACACAATAGAGAGAGTGTTCAAAGAACTTGGGTTTTCGCACAAAACCCCGAGTATTGAGAGGAGCTATTTTATCCTGGAGACGACCGGTTGATAGTCTGCCGTGCGCATCGAGGGCAGTGTCGCGAACGTCTTAAAGAGAGCGACCTAGTCCGCGACTCAGCTCCAGATTCGGTAACCTCGTTCTTGTTGTTGTTCCGTTCATAACAATTTTAAGACGTTCGGCTGCTGCTATGTCGACTGAGCAGAACAACATGGCTAGATCTGGTGCTGTCGATATCAATCGACCCTTCCGCTTTGTAGGAGTCAACTTGCGTCGCTGGAGACAAAAGATGGAGTTCTACCTGACGACCAAGAAGTTGGCACACTGCCTCACCAGCATGCCCATCGAGCTGCCGGAAGAAGCGACCGATGAGGAGAGGGCTCCTTCTGATAAGGAAATGGAGCATGACTTCCTGTGCAAGAACTACATCCTCAACGGCCTGGCAGACGATCTCTACGACTACTATGCGGACAGCAAGAACACCACGATGATTATCTGGGATGCGCTCCAAAATAAGTACGACACGGAGGAGGCTGGAGCTAAGAAGTATGTTGTCAGCCGCTACCTGCGCTACCAGATGGTGGATGACAAGTCTGTCGAAGTTCAGTCCCACAACTTCAGAAAATAGCTCATGAGATCGTCTCTGAAGGTATGCCTCTGGACGATCAATTTCAACTTGCTTTGCATTATTGATAAGCTGCCCCCTTCGTGGAAAGATTTTAAGAATATGCTTAGACATAAAACCAAAGAATTTTCACTGGAAAGTTTGATTACTCGCCTAAGGATTGAGGAAGAGTCCCGCAAGCAGGATATGAAAGAAGAGGTGATGGTCGTCACTGCTAAACGACCCACCCCTAGAGCTCTTAAACCTAACCAGAAAGGGGTTAAGAGTAAGAACCAGCAGGTCCGCCCCCACCAAAATGGTGCCTCTCGAGGTAACCAAAGGTTCATGGCCCAAACCTCTAAGAATGACCCAACGTTTATCTGTTATAACTGCGGAAAACCGGGTCATATGGCAAAAAAGTGCCGGAACAAGCAAAACCCTGCCGCTGTGGCCAGGGTTAACTTGACAGAAGAGGATTTGATAGCCATGATCACGGATATGATCGCTGAAGTTAACCTCACCGGTGACTCAGAAGGATGGTGGTTGGATACAGTTGCATCGAAGCATGTATGCAACAATCGTGCTATGTTTAAAACATACACAGAAGCACCTGCTGACAAGAAAGTGTTATTGGGGACTACTCACACCACTATGGTTGTTGGTTCTGGTGAAGTGGTGCTGAACTTCATCTCTGGGAAGAAGATGGTGCTCAAGGATGTGTTGCACACTCCAGAGATAAGAAAGAATATTGTTTCGGGATATCTTCTTAATAAGGCTGGGTTTAATCAATCTATTGGGGCAGACTTGTATACCCTTACTAAGAATGAGAGTTTTGTGGGAAAGGGATATGCATGTAATGGGATGTTCAAGTTGAATGTCGAAATTAATAAGATGAATTCTTCAGTTTACATGGTGTATGATTTGAATGCTTGGCATGCTCGTCTTTGTCATGTGAACACACGAATTGTGAAGAATTTAAGCAAGCTAGGACATATCCCTAAACTCTCAATGAATGAATTTGATAAATGTGATTTCTGTAGCCAAGCTAAAATAACGAAAACGCCCCATAAATCTGTGAGTAGAGAATCAGAGCCCTTAGATCTGATTCATTCTGATATTTGTGAACTAGATGGGACGTTAACTAGGTCTGGCAAGCGATACTTTATCACTTTCATAGATGATTGCTCTGATTATTGCTTTGTTTATTTGATGAAAAACAAAAGTGAAGCCCTTGATATGTTCAACGTATTTGTGGTTGAATTTGAAAATCAGTGCAATCGAAAGATAAAAAGACTTAGGAGTGATAGAGGATCAGAGTATGACTCTAATCCCTTCAAGGAATTCTATAGCTCACATGGTATCATTCATGAAACCACGGCAACATATTCACCAAAAATGAATGGTAAAGCTGAGCGGAAAAATAGGACGTTTACAGAATTAGTTGTGACTATTATGCTTAATTCTGGAGCTGCTTCTTCTTGGTGGGGTGATATTTTGTTGACGGTTTGCTATGTGCTAAACCGTCTTCCAAAAAAAATAGAAAAAGAGGCCGTATAAGAAAGTAATAACAAGTCATGAGTAGTAACAATGGGTAATAACAAGTCATGAGTAATAACAAGTCATGAGTAGTATGCGAAAAGTTCATGCATAGTGAAGCATGAATCCCAAAGTAATGGAGGTTGAGTTAATAACTCTTAATGAGATCTATACCCTATGTGGGGTGGAGTACTTTACTTTGGGGGTACTCTTGATAGACTCACCTATGTGAATGTGGGAGTGGGGCCGCTCCCTATGGAACTTTGGAGGCACAAAGTTGCTAGAGCGTTCACTAAACCAGGATAACGTGCATGGCCATAAACGCACGGGCTAAGAAGAGAACACAACTCAATGAAAAGATCCGGTGTGCTACACTATCTGAGATAGGGTTCAAGACTACGAGTCACCCTTATGAAATCGGAAGTGTAACCACTACGCTAAGGTTCAAATCTTCTCGATACCTTAGCTTATGCCCGATCTTATGGAACTGTTGATGCTCAAAGATAGTTTCAAAACTATTCAAGTGGGGGATTGTTGGAAATGTATATGAATAGCTTTGAAAGCTATAGAGTCTGAAGTGGAAAAACTACCACATTGGTAGTTTTACTTGGTGAAATGTGTATAAAGATAGGAGCCTCTCTCTTAAGGGCATTGCCCCTTGGGGTGACCCACTTTTGTGGGAGAGGGAGGACCTAACGGACCACCACACACACGGGCCCACGCGCCGTCTGTCCGACCGGTCGGTTGGTTGGTTGATTCACTTGAGACTACATATATTTTTTGGAGAAAGTCTGAACGAAATTAATTATCTAATAATTAATTATTAATCGGTTATTCTGAGCAATGCAGTCAAAAGCGCGATTCTACCTAGAAGCGGAAAAGGGGTAAAATCATAAAGCGTAGAACTAAAGCGTAAAAGCGTAAGTTTTTTACGCATACGGTAAAAGAACTAAAAATATGTTAAGTACGACATATACTATGAAAATTATGAGTGCGAAAAATTCAGATAAGTTAATAAATACTTACAATTCATGTCTAAAGTAGAGCAACTTATAGCCTCTTAATAATAAGTTCATAAATATAAATATTATAAAAAAGTCACCTTCCCCTCCATGCTAATGAATTTGAGAAGAGCCTAGATAGTGAATTAGATTACTTTATTGAAGTTCATAATGCATCCAAGTATCTGGTATGTATATTTTAATCTTAAATGTATCATATTGTCGGTGATTTATTTTTAAAATTTACTTTTTATAATTAATTTCATGAAAAGAAGACCCATTCAGTGAAGTAAAAGCGTAAAAACGTAAAGCGTTTTAGTGAACTAGAAGCGTAAAAACGTAAGTTTTTAAGATTTAACGCGCAATTTAGTGTGATTTTATTCACTAAAGTTTTTACATAGAAACGAAAGCGTTTTGGTGACCTAGAAGCGTAAAACCGTAAGTTTTTAAGTTTTAAAGCGCGATTTTGACTGCATTGATTCTGAGGAATATTCTAAGGATAATCCCGCAGGTTTATCTTAACCGACGGTTTTAATTAAGGAAGTAATTATCTTCCTTAATTAATCCGACTTATTCCCCAAGCAAGAGGGTATATTCCTAGGGGTTCGGCTCCTATAAATAGCCGCCTCCCCAGCCCTCTAAACACACCACAACGAGCATAAACACAATAGAGAGAGTGATCAGAGAACTCGGGTTTTCGCACAAAACCCTGAGTATTGAGAGGAGCTATTTTATCCTTGAGACGACCGGTTGATAGTCTGCCGTGCGCATCGAGGGTAGTATCGCGAACGTCTTAAAGAGAGCGACCTAATCCGCGACTCAGTTCCAGATTCGATAACCTCGTTCTTGTTGTTGTTCCGTTCATAGCAGAAGGCTGGCCTTTGAACTGCCTCAGAGGGTCGTCAGGGAAGAATGTTTCCTTCAGCCTGGACTTCAACTTCTCTAAGCTGCTTCTCTGTGGCGGTGGGGCTACTTTGTGGACGTCTATGGAGCATCTCGATATCTCTTTCTTCCTTGTTTCCTCCTCACCATTGTTGATCGGATCCATGCTTCGATTGTGTACAGCTAGTTCCAATTATTATGTGCTATATAGGCAGGGGAATGAAGAAGCTGTCGTCTGTGTCCTACTCAGAACAGAGAGCACTAGAGAACCCAACCAGCAGAAAAAGTAGGGAGAAAGGAAAGATGAGATCCTTGAGGTGACCTGACGTTTATTGAAAAGATGGATTTGGTTCTTTTGGAAATGGAGCAAGGGAATTGGGATCTTCAACCTTATCAAGAAGACACCACCATCATCCCTCCCTCCCACCCACCCACTGTTATTGTTTTTGTGGGACTCACTAGACCGCTTGAGTTGGATTAGATTTAGATTCATCCTTCGTGAGCAGATAGATGCTAGGAATCCATTTGTATTTATTATGTTTTATTCTTAATGAAGGTCAGTGCTGTTTGTGACATCAACTTTGGCAACTTTATGGAATTGACTAGTGTTGTTGTATAACTCCGAGCAAGGATGTCAGTACTAATAATTGAGAGCGTTTCATTTGTAAATCAACATAGTGCTTCCTCGCATGGGTAAAATACATTGGATACCACTTAAGTTTGAGAATTGGGGCAGACATATCATTTAAGTTTGAATAGGGCGTCGGATACCACTGAACTCTATTATTTGTGCACCCGGTACCACTTAAGTTTAATGTTAGGTGCATTCCGTTAAAGTTAACAGAATATTCTTGGAATATTCTGTTTTCTAAATTTATTAATTGGTCCTTCTACTTTTCTTATTGTAAAAAATCATTGTGACTTATGAAAAACATCAATTTTTATTATTTAGTTGGTATACTCTTTTGAAAACTTGATACCAAATTAATTTTTGAATAGAAAATTTAGAATCAACTATCATTATAAGTATTTTCAATTATCATTATGTTTTCTAATAATTTAATTATTCTCTAAAGCCAATATATCCTATGAATTCTGTTTAGTTAGAATCATCTTTTGAAGACTTTGATACCAAACCAATTTTTGAATAGAAAATGTAGAATCAATTATCATTATAAGTATTTTCAATTACCATTATATATTATAATAATTGAATAATTTGCTGAAACAAATATATCCTATGAATTCTATATCGATATAAATAATCTGAGGATGTTATATTTAATTCTCGTACATCATGCTGATGTTGTATAACTTTCTATGTTAAATATCCTTGTAATTTTCTAATATGATATTTTAGATGTTCCATATTAATTAAATTTACTAATTCTAATTCTCTTCCTATAGTCATATTTTCTTTTCTAGATTTGTTACGGAATGCTGTAGATTTTATTTATTTATTACTTGATTACTTCCGGTCTCTTTTCGTTCTAAATTTTCTTCAATTACTGGAATATGTTTAATTCTTTCTGACTGTGTTTCATTTATCCTTCTTTGGTCTTGATGTATTGATGATCGATTAGGTTCTATTTTAACTATTTTTTATTAGTACTTCTAATTGAATTAGCGATTTAAATAGATCTTCTAATATTTATTTCAAATATTTATTATTATATTCTATATATTTATTTTTCTTCTGATATTTTTTTATTATTTTTACTATTTTACCTATTTTATTGACAATTTTGATTAGTCCATTTAGAAATATTATGTTTAGAAGGTTTTTTAATTTCTAAATTAGATAAAAACTTGTTGAAACATAGTTTTTGATGTTTTTAAAAGTTTTGGGTACCAAAAAGTAATTAAAATTTTGGGTTGGATGGAAAACTAGACGGATGCACATTTTGGCGACTTTAGTGGTACCCGACGCCCTATTCAAACTTAAGTGGTATCTCTGCCCCAATTCTCAAAGTTAAGTGGTATCCGAGGTATTTTACCCAGCCAAAGCAAAATCGACATTCGAGAAAATAAAACAATACAAAAACTGAACAACTAAACCAAATGTATTTCATTGTTCCAGTGTGAATGTACAATGAATGGGGCTATGTCAAGTAAAACCTCCCTGTGACTGACTCTGACTACCGTATCTTTCTAAGCAGAGATGGGAAGGGTCTCTTGAGCTTGAGATGGCACACTCTTTTTTTCTTGCACAGAACATATATATTTTTGAAGCCCTTCCCTCAACACCTAAATGATCAGACAAAATTTACATTTGAACAAACAAACAAACAAACAAAAACCAAGATTTCCCAAACAAAACCAACAAGATAAAACACCCACCCCTCGGCCATCCTATGAGTGTTACAGCTTTACTTTTGGTTAGGGTACAAAGGAAGATCTTCTGCCTCTGCCTGCCTGCCTGCAGCTGACCTTAACAAACAATCACAACTTTCCTTTCTCCTATCCCCAACTTCATCTCCATGTGCATGTACAAGATGATCGGTCATGGTTCTGGTCAACATATAACCGGCCCCCCATTACTACCACAAGCCCTGCAACCCACCATTGAATTGAAACTTCCCCAGGATTTGTTTGGCAGGGTTTTAAAGATATAATGAGAGAATCACAACCACGCTGAAAAAAGTTGGAGAGTCAGCACCAGCAGCGAGCTAAACATGTATCACCAATTCACTTCCTGATCAAAGAAGAAACCAACCCACCCAAAAATTCTCTATACTGCCTTGTTCATCCGGCACATGCAGTCAGGGCATGGATGAGAATATACCGAGTCATTCATTCTCTTGAATTCAAACCCCTTGGAATCACTGTGAGACCGCATGTTCAACATTTGTCGTTTGAAACTCTTCCATCTGGGTATTATGCAAGGAATCGGGCAAGATATCAACACAGAATCCATCAAGAGCGCCACGGAGCTGCTTTTATCTTAATTTCTGGATAAAGTATGAAAATTCAAGTCTTGCGTAACTAATTTTCAGCAGGTCCTCTTGCTCAGTTAACTGACGCTTGTTTACTGATGGAAAGCGAAAGGGGGAACACTTACCCTAAGGATGTATTATCAAGCAGCAGAGCTAACTTCCGCTTGTCTGGCCTAATTGTCTTGGCATGTCCACCATACAAGAATCTCCGATGGCCTAACAAGAAATGAGGGAAGTTGCCACCTTGAGTTGTCACAAACACCTCACTGTGAAGGCAAACAGTATAGTCTAGTGCAGCCATCCTGGAAGAGAAATTCTGACAGAGTAGGAAGTCAAAGAGTTAACATTGGAAAGACTATCCCAAAAGACAAACTACTCACATTCAACAAAAATAATAAGTAGGTTAGGGGAGTCTGAACCTTAAATGGTGCTAGTTCTTCAGCGGTCGCTAGTGTATCCTTTGTCTGCAAATTTGGAAACATTTCCAACAATGGAGCCATATATTTCTCAGCATTGTATATCTTTCCAGAAGCTAAATATATATATGTGCCCTTGCCAAAACCCATTCCCCTAAGTATCAGACCAACCTAAGAAGAGAGAGAAGTTATGAGATGGTTAAAGAAACACACAAAACTTGAGTAAGAGTAGTGCAAAATCGCCCAGTTGCTGATGAACAAGTTAATCACGTACAGTTGTTCAAACAAACAGCGAAAAAACATAACTAGACGGTAACCAATAGAAAGGAAAACCATACTGCTAAAATCTATTGATAATCGAGGTGTTAATCAGGAATGCTTATTTGTTTCACCAAACGCTCTAGGGGGAAATTATATTGCCAATTGACATGCTGAGAGTCACTCTGATACAACAATCCTATAAAAAAATGAGTTATATACAAAACTACCAGCTCTTGCTTCTTTTAGATTAGTTTAAAAAAAATACAGTAGAAAATAGGAAGCAGAAATACAAATAACATAAGTTACCTCTAAGGGAGTAAGGGGGCACTTGCCATTAAGCCTGATGGCTCCAGGAAGTATGGTTCGACCAGGCTTTGTAAATTTCCCTTTCCAGCCTCTTTCCCTAGCAGCTCTCATGTCTCTATCTTCTTGTGCACCACCATCAAACACACAACAAGAGAAAGCAACCATGTCCTGATCATGTGAGAATAATTTCTATGAGCAGTCAACATATATATTGGATAGAAATTATGTAACTACTGTCAAAGCGAATCATAAACAAACACCCCTTGATTCTCATTAAACGATAACTAACCTCCTCAAAGCGCAGATGTACAGAAACATATTTCCCACCATGGCTTGCACTCAGCTCTTTCATTCTCGCCACCAGATTTTCCCCCATTGTCAATATGGGGTTTGCAAACCTTAGACCTTCATAGTTTGCCATACATCTAAGGCGTTGGACAGCTGCCGGTGCATCAAATGACAAGCGGTGCGCAAATGGAGAAATCCTTACAACCCTGTTCATGCACCAGATGTAAAATAAATAAAAAACACACATTAGCCAGCAACTAGTTGCTCAAAAACCAGCTACGGCATCCAAACTATAATCCATTCAAAACCAGATGTACACTTAGCATCTACCACACCACTGATAACTTAAAAAGCTCAGTACATATCATACAGGCAAACCTTAATCATGATAAGAGAGAACAATTAGCTTCTGCACAATTCATAAAAAAAAAACTTCTGCACAAGCCACAAAAAACTAGACATTGAAATGCTTCAAGTGCATATGTAACCACCAAAGAAGCATATAAAACAAAAGGATGATGACAAATTTTCAAGAGGAGCAATTTTCCAGGTAAGAGAAATGAACAGCACAGTCAGGTCAGTAGTGAAGCAAAATATTGACAAGGATGAGGACTTCAAACTTCAAACTAAGTGAGTACAATCTCTTTCCAACATCAGAAGTAATCAACTCCAAACAGATATCGATAGTAAAGATGCTTCAGAACATGCTCATTCCTCATTTTGTAGGAGAAAATATATGTTCAGGTCTGAGGCCAAGTAGAACAAAACTTAACAGTGGTACTACACTCTATGCGCCAAGGACACTAGAATGGAAGAAAATAAAATGATAGGCCCAAATACAGCTTTAACAAGAAGGTGAAGCATGGAAAAACATTAAACAATGAGAAACTGGTTAGATTTAAGTCAGCGTAAGACGTGTGGGAAGAAACTAGCATTGTAGCCTTACTTTTCTTCAAGTAGCCTGGGGAGGACTACGTCTTTGTAATATTCAATAGGTGACCATGCTTTTACTCTGAAGTTGAATACATTGCTGAAGTTGTGATCAAACCGCTCCATAAGATATACTGGAATCTTATCAACCACCCTCACCTCATTTTGTAAGGCAGTCATAAAAAATTCTTGATCATAAATGTCTTTGAATTTGCTGAAAGCAAGTTAAACCAAGGAAATATCGAGCTGATTACTAAACTGTAGCAAGGTAGACCGAATCTAGTATTCATCAAAGATAATCCTTCACCTACTGTGCAAGGAAATAATTACAAAGAAAAAGAGATGCAGCATCTATTGGTATATGTTGAACTAAGTATCAATTAAAAAATGTTGCATCATGGCACGATGTGAATCAAGAAAGTGCAAGAACAAATAACTTGAAAGCAACAAAAACATGGGGCAACTCTGGAGAGCCTTATGGAGAAATGGCTACAAGCATTGTTGAAATGATCATCAAATGCACTATCAGAAAGGCTCTAGCTTGGAGTTCCAGATCAAAGGCCTCGATGGAAGACATGGAGGCGTTGATGGCGTTCCAAATCCGGCAATAGGTGGCCGATCATCTCCCCCACAGGCCTGTCTTGTCGGTTACAATCACGAATGGGGTGGCGGTTACGCTTCTTGGCCGACGGTTCAGATAAGTATTCCTTTATCATTTATTTATTTCTTTATTATTATTATTATTATTTATTTATTTCCCTTAATTATTTATCCTTCATACTTTATTTGTTTTCAATTAGTCTTTCCAACTTTTTTCATTTTTCTCGTATGTACCTATTGCCTTCTTTTTAAAATTATATACTTGCAAATTGTTAGGCCCCCGAAATTTAGGTTGTATCCTTTTTAGGAAAAAAATAGGTGTGTTTTGGGTGCCGGTTATCTAGGGTCTCCCGATGACCTGGTTCTCTATTTCAAGGGCGAATTGCTGCCTTGTGTCTATGTTGACTTGTTGGCTCTTTGACCTGGATTGTCCTAGTAGGGACCTTTGTTTGTTCATTTTGCAGGTGAAGATTCAATTGCACAATAGTCGATCGGTGGCGGTTGTCTTTTCCACAACAATTGATACGGCGGGATGGTGGGAGGCGACTTGGCGCATGATCGGGGTGGAGCTCTACTAGAGGATACTCGGAGCTTAGCTTCTCACTTCAGTTGGTTTTCTTTCTGCTTTGTTTCTCGTCGACTAAATAGGGATGCCCATCATGTGGCACAAAAGGCCCTCTCATCGGGGAGTTCGACTATTGGTAGACTCCCGCGTTTTTTCTTTCTTCCTCCTTGTGACTATCTTTTCAACACTGACTTTGCGGGAGGAAAAAAAAAAGTCTCTAGCCATTAAGCCTATGCAGAGATTAAAAACAACGACCAGACATGTTGGATTCTGTATTACTATTACTAAGCTTGTTGATTTTCTTTAGTGACTGTCTGCGTTCTCCTATTTTTTATTTTTTGTGGGGGAGGGAAGGGGCGGGGGAAGCATGAGGTGGTAAAGACATGGACCCACCTGGGATCTCTCCAGATGCTGTGGTAATGGAAATTAGGGATCAGGAGTGTTGCATTCAGATAGCCAGCAACAGCAACTGCATTGCATATCTACAAAACAATTGTTACACTGTCAACCATTAATTATACTGTGACGTAGCAATTCAGAAGACAAAAATCACGTAAATACAAGCATAGTAGGAGCAAAGTGGAAGCATGAAACTAACCGAAGTCCTTTGCTGATTCAAACCTCCATTGGCCTCAACATATATGTACCCATTAGAAGATGGTATACCTATCATAATAAGGAGACCAAATTGGTAAGTAACACATAAACAAACAAGACAACTAACAAGGAAAATGAGAGACAAAGACACATCATATGGAACAGTTTGAGGCAAAGAATATAGAGACATTGTTGCCAGTGCAATTCGGGCCATAGTGTCTCTCAGACCTCCTCTTGACTTATGAAATAACAAAGTTGTAAAGCAACTAATACGTGCATTGCCCTCGTAGTTGAAACAAGTAAAAACGCATTAACTCTTTGAAAATATTCATACCTTCCAACGACTTGTTCACACATGGTTTCCACTCGCCACTTTTGTATGAATTTTTCCATATAGTTAACAGCTGCAATATATTCAATGTGAATGGCAAAATAGCAACAAAGAAAACCAGATGCCACATATATGAATGTAGTCATAGAAAGGAAAACCAAATGCAAAAGAAATATCAATTGGAAACTTAAGACTGGTTCTAAGTATCTTAAGAGGACTGTACTAGCATGCCCTCTTGAGATGACACATTCACATCCCCTTTGTCCCAGACCCAATTTCGACCAAATGGTGGATTCTTTAGGAAACCAATAGACATTCTGAATAGTTTCAATGGCACAACAGACGGCTCTAGAGTTCTCCCAGTAAAACTACAACCCTTGAAGAGGGTCAGATCAATGACCAAGTATACGACGCCACAGATTCAATGCAAGGTTGGGCCAAGACATAACATAGCTTCTCCAACATACTACTTATTAGTCAGTTCCTACTGTCGAAAGAGCAGCCAAAGACAAAGATTTTGGCATCACAAGAAGAATGTGGCTTTGCCCTTCGAAAAATCAATTAGATAAGCGAAGCCAATGCAACATAACATCAAGTTAAGAATGACTACAGTATAAATTCTGAATTTCACTAAAAGCTAAGAGAGAGTCACGGGCAAACAAGGCTTCAGCTACCTAAATCTTGGACTGCATCAACAACCGTCCAACAAGCCAAGTCAATAGATTGCCTGCTGCAATCAGTTTTATCCTACAAGTTATCCACCAGAGCAACCTGAGATATTGAACCATTTCTAACCAGTCCTATTCCTTAAATAACTGAGATTAAAAGACAGTCAGTATTCACTGCTCGCCATTCCTCGGCGTTTAGTTATTCTCATAGTGAGAAACAAATGGAGCAAGTTTCTGAACCAGAGAACAAGAGAAACAAAAATTATTGTGATTAGCTTCAGCAGAAGAAACGTTCGGAAAGAGCTAATTCAAGTGATTTAGGGCATCACTGTTACATAGAATTGGCCGTTTCAAAGAGCATAAGCAAATCTATATCCAAGCTTCATCCACTCCTAACGTTTTCAGATTCAAAATTCTCTGGATGCCGAAGTATAGTGCCCTTGAAATCGACTGGCAGGAAGCAGCGGGAGAAAGCAAAGGAGAAAATGAACTCACCGCATCAGCAGAAGAATTATCGGCATCCATTTCAGGTCGGAGCTTCTCATAAACGAGGGGGCTCTTATAAACCGAACCAGGAGTAGGCCTATGAGAAATCTGGGGGACGACATCGAAGGACACAGTCCCCATGTAGAGAAGCATTCCCGAGATGTAGATAAGCGGGGCGAACAAGAAAATCCCCTGGCGACGGAGGAGAACGGAGAGGAGAAGCCAAGCAAGGCGATGAGCTATGGTACGCTGAGCCGCCGCCGGAGGAACCGGCCAGGCTTGGAACGCCCGCGGTAGCGAGGAGAACGGAGGGGAGACTGTGGTGGCGACGGCGATGTGTGACCGCTGCTCGGGATCCGTTTAGAGGCGTGCATTTAGCAGATCTCTGGTTGCGCTCTTGGGCGTTAGTGCCCCCCTCTCGTCCCTGTCCTTGTCCCCCCTCTCTCTCCTCAGCGTGCTGGTCTTCTACGACGACGTCATCATGCATAGGCTTCCCGGTGACCTCTCCGGTGAGGCTCTGCAGCTGCTCTTCGTCGGAGCTACGGTTTCTTTTTTTTTTTTTTTTTTTTGTATTTTTGTTATTCTTCTCTCGGTTTTGCAGAGGGAGGAGCGCGAGAAACAGCACGTGCTGAGAGGAGAGGGACGTGTTATGCTATGTGTTATGCTATGGAGGTAGGGAGAGACTCCGTGGGAGGGGAGCGGATATGGTGGCAAGTGGCAACAATATATTTGTTGTTATTGTAACAATAACATAGATAGACCAATAGGAACCCATTATTGTGCATACTTTTCAATTTCATGTGTTGACTAGGGTAAAAAATAAAGGAAGGGTATTTTTGTCCTACCGAAACATTGCAGCTTCTTTTGTTCGAAAAATTGCAGCTCGTTTCTCTCTCCCCACTTTATTCTCTCTCCAATCGCGCGGCGCCGAGGCTGAACAAAAACACCACCGCAACGGCAGCGACGAGCACCTGATCGCAGCAGCTATCGCAACGCGGCGACGAGCACCTGATCGCAGCTACCGCAACAGCGGCGACGGCGGAGCGAGCTCCTGATTGCAGCTAAGACATTGAAGATGGACCAGAATCGTGTAGATGAAGTTTCTGTTGGTTCTGTAGATGCTCAACAACTCCTGCAAATTGCAACATCTTCTGACAATGCAACATAAAGCGGATATTAGCTGGAAACCTCTATTTCCACCAACAGTGCCAACAATGAACAACAAGAAGGTACGCTCAAATCAATCCTTCCTGTTTTCTTACAATGAGCACCACAATCATGCTTATACAAGCCATTTACCATATCACAAGCAGTACCAATCAAACCGCCCACTAAAATCCCACAAACGATACCAAAAGCATCGCCAAACACCACATTCTTCCCAAAACAATCCACAGAAAAAAAAGACAATCAACCAAAACACTTAAAAATCAAACCACAAAACTTCTTAAATGCACCAAAACACCTCCTATGCACACTATTAAAACCTAAATCGTTACATTCCGCAATCTGTTTGTAAAAAAAATCATACACTGTAATGCAAACCATAAATGTCATAAAAGCATCATGAATAACTACAATGCAAACCACTTTTCACTTTTCTAGTAAATATCATCGCAAAATGAAATGATCAAGTGCTCATTTCTTTCATCATTGCTTACAGGTGTGACATCAAACAGATCCGAGTCAGACTACACTAGTTTGGGGTTGGCATTCAAAACCATTAAGGAAACAAAACAATTCTACAAGAACTATGCCCACGATCTTGGCTTCAGTGTGAGGGACATGGGAGTTGTCAAAGAAGGATACAAAAAGACAGCCAACCAAAACAGCACGATATACTAGGTATTGCTGCAGCAAAGAAGGATACAAGACGACAAGCAAGTCAAATCCAAAAAATAAAGGATCAATCGATGTCAAGGCTTATTAACGTGTTGTATCAGAAACTAAAGTTGGCTTCCCAGCTATAATCAAATTCAGATATGATATCAAGAAGGATGAATGGCTGCTGGACAAGTGGATAACAGAACACAACCATGATCTCCTCCCTCCAAAATTCAAACATCTGTTGAGGTTAAACAAGGGGATCTCAGAAATGCATGCAATGGTCGCACAAGTGCATGCAGATTGTGGAGTTTCACTATGGCAATCATATGAGTTGTTCACCACAACTTCAGGGGGAGGGTGAATGTACATTTTACCCCTCATGATCTAAAGAACTATATCACAGGGACAAGGCAGAAATCAATGAAACCAGGCGAAGCAACTATACTTCTTGAACATTTTTGCCAGGAACTTACAAGAATCCATCATTCTTCTATGAAATTGAGGTAGATAGTAACGATGATATTGCAAGTATATTCTTGGCTGATGCAAGAATGCGGTTTGACTACAGTTGCTTTGCTTTGGAGATATGATCAGTTTCGACACCACATACAGGACAAACCAGAATTATCGTCCACTAGGTCAGTATTCCTTGCACTAGTTAATTTTCTTGAGATTTCGAAGTTGAATGCATACCAAACATTACGCAATGCATACCATAAGTAACATAAAACCACCCTAAATACTCTTAAAACAAACGACAAAAAAAAACATGAAACATTCTTTTTCAGAATACTAACCAGAAACCTCCTATACCACACTAAACACGTCATGAAACACGCCATTAGGGATGGCAATGGGGCGGGTTTGCTTAAACCATCCACATACCCATCTTCAAATACCCAAACCCATACCCGCCCCATACCCATGCGGGGGAATGTTTTGCAAACCCATCCCCATACCCGTGGGTTTCGGGTACCCATGGGTAATACCCATACCCGTACATCCAACATTATTATACCTAAAACTTACAAGAAAAGTTCTAATTATAATTCTAAACGAACATATTATATCATGAAGTCAATAAAATACGGTCATTTTTTTAATATGGTTCAAAGATTATGATCCTAAAATATCCATTAATACATAATATAGAGTATAATATTTTTCAAATTATTATGTTCTAACTCTGATACATCTACTAAATAATAATTAACTAACATAATCTTGTTGACAAGGGGGAAGTGAAAGAGTGAAATGAGAATTGAGAGAAATGAATTAGATTTTGATTAAGGTGGTCAATCAATTGCATTTCTACTATTTATTTTCTCAAGTTATCCTCATCATCATTGATAGATTATAATTTGATGCACATATTTTTCTTATATATGAAGAAATTATCTTGGTGGGGCGGGTATGGGGATGGGTATGGGGCGGGGGAGGCTAAAACCATACCCTCCCCATACCCATCAAACTTTTTGCGGGTTTTACCCATACCCGTCCCATACCCTGTCAAAGCGGGGATTCCCCGCGTTGACTGGGTCGGGGGCGGTCGGATACCCACGGCCATGGGTTTGATTGCCATCCCTACACGCCATGTATATCATAAAAGACCGTCTGTATTTGTTTCAATACTTAATTCTATGTTGTTCTTTTTGCGAAGTTGAATGCATACCAAACATTACGCAATGAATACCATAAGTAACATAAAACCACCTCAAAGACTCTTAAAACAAACGACAAAAAAAAAACATGAAACATTCATTTTGAGAATCCTAACTAGAAACCTCCTAAACCACATTAAACACGTCCTGAAACACACCATATATATCATAAAAGACAGTCTTTGTTTGTTTCAATATTTAATTCTATGTTGTTCTTTTTTTATTTTTTAATTACAGCTTTGCTTGTTGGCTTCAACCACCATCGTGCACTCTGCATCTTCGGGGCTGCTCTCCTATATGATGAAACAACCGCTACATTCAAGTGGTTGTTCGATGCATTCTTGAAATGTATGTCAGGCACCCGACCAACATCAATATTCACCGACCAAACTGCTGCAATTGCTGCTGGGATTAGATCCGTCATTCCTGAAGCATTCCATGGCTTGTGTACTTTTCATATCAAGCGGAATGCAATGAAGCATCTCGACACCACAAACACAAACATTCTAGAATATCTAAAATATGTCACTTTTAAAGTAGAAAATGAGGAAGAATTTGAGTACAATTGGTAAAGGTTGCTAGACACATTATCCAGAAGAAGGCACCAATCCAAGGAACTGGTTGGATTCAATTTACAAGGTGAGGAAAAAGTGGTCTTCAGCATGGGTTAAGGACCACTTCACAGCTGGTATGCGAAGCTCACAGCTGAGTGAGTCTTGTTACAGCAACCTCCGAAACTACCTTCAACCAGATGACAACCTAGTTGAGTTCTTTACATACTTCAACAAGTTGCTCGAACGGAAAAGATCAGACGAAATGGACATGGATTATCAAATGGCAAACACAGTCCCAAACAACATGTATGTATACTTCCTTCATTTGAACTTTTTATACTGTAGAATGCATCCACAAGTCTCCTTGTCCAAACAAAAAACAACAGCAAACACCCCACAATTGATATAAAACCCTACTAGTACAGTTGAATACAAACCAAACACCACCTAAACCAACCCAGAAACCCTAAAATCCACACCACAGACCACCTAATACAACCCATAAACACCACAATGCACACCGCACGAGCTTAAACAACCCATGAACTCCACAATCCACACCACACACGACTTAAAATAACCCATAAATCCCACAATCCGCACCATAAACAGTACAATACATACCATATAATCATTAATGTAGACAAGATTCTTATGAATAATGTATGTTTTATGTCATCTTCCAACAGGTATGATAGAAGCCCACTTGTTCTATGAATAATTATACGCAACTAAGATCTACAGTTCTTTCCTTGAGGAGTATTCAGAAAGCCTTGCTTTTTTTGTGTTCCGGAATGAATCTATGGACAGAGATGGAATGACAACTTATGAAGTGAAGAAACTGGTAGGATTCGGCAAAAGAGTCGTGTTAGTGAACAAAGGGAGAAAGAAATACAAGTGCTCATGTCGTTTGTTTGAAAGTTCAGACAGATAGAGATGGTTGGATTCAGTGGTGATGATATTGAGCAATTGACTATCCCTAAGGAATACATCTGCCATGATGGACGAGAGATGCCAAATCTGGAGAGAAGTTCACAATAAACACAACAGAATGTGATGCAACAGATACTTATGCAGGGTGGTATCAAGAACTGTGTGCTAGCATGGTTATCCTAGCAACAAAAGTCTCAATGCATGACAAGGTCTTCTCAATGGTTATGGAAAAGATTGCAGAGCTCACTAAACTAGCTTTCCAAAGCCTTCAGACTCAAGAAACTCAGCAAACAGTACCTGGTAATTTCAGACATCTTGTTAGCATCCCTACTTATATTCACCAGTAATTTCTTAATCCAAGCCACTAATGATCTAATCCAAAGCATAAACATCTTAATCCAATCCACTAATTGCTTAATCCCTACTTATGTTCACCAGTATCTTGCATGTTGCTTTTTCAACAGTTTGAACCACCAGTACATCACCCTCACTAAGCGCTGCTGCTTCAGCTACGAATGACAAGTATACCAATGTGAAGAGATTCAAGGCTCGACAAGACCCATGGAAATCAAAGAAGAGGCCAAGAGGTGGACTTGAGATAGCGCTGGAGAGGGCTAGAAAGCAAGGAATTGATGAACAGGCTGCCAACAAGCGTTACAAAAG